TGGAAAACAATGGATGCTTTGGCAACCTTAAGATTTGGTGTTGAGGAACATGAGCAAAAGTCCAGCCCAAATACAGTTTTCAAATATCCTCAATGTCAATGGTGCCTTTCTTTTTTGTTTTAAACGTTAAAAACATCTTGGTTTATGCTCGCTTACTAAATAAAAATATGTTACTTAATGTAAACTTTGCCATCATATGAAACAACAATCTCAGCAGAGTATGTAAAAGTAATTTATCTGTCCTATTTTAATCGCTTAGATTTTCCAGAGATTTTTTATCTCATACCTATTTCGGTTTTGCTGCAGAAATTTCCAAAAGCACTCACGTGAACAAACTTGTCTTCTCTTGAAAAACATTTTGACTAAGTTTATCCAATATCTGGCCAAACAACCACTCCTTTTTCTTAAAAAAATCGGCAATAATCATATCGCCGCATGGATCTTTTTTTTTTTATAGAATAACCCGAATGTGGGAACCAGTCTATAAACACTAACTTGTGTGTTTTCATCGTATGATGTTAGCTGCCTTGATAAATTTACCTCTTTTTTCTGTGGTGTACAGGTGCTGGTGTAGGCCTCCTCTCTCTTACGACTGTGGTCATAAACCAGCACTTCGTCAAGTACCGAGCCGTGGCTTCCGGTTTAAACATGGCCGGCTTCTCAATCGGCGGACTCCTGTTCCCGCCTCTAACGCAGTTCTTCCTCGCCGAGTACGGTCTTCGCCCCATGTTCCTTCTTTGCGGTGCCGTAATATTAAACGCTGCTGCTGGCGCCATTCTTCAGCGGATACCACCTTGTTCTGACAGGGCGTCAGCCGCCAGACAGCAATGTGGCCAGGCGGAAGAAAAACCACCAGTCATTATGCTAGCAGGTGACGAAGAAAACCTGCTGTTGAAACAGCTGAGTTTCCTGGACTCGAGCAAGGACTGTAGAAGCCAAAACGAAGATCCGGAGCTGGCGGCCACCAGTTCAGAAACTGAGCTCAAGCATGTCGAGGATGGCTTCAAGAAGCACGCCATTGCAACGACAGATGACCTAAAAGAGATAAATGATCGGCGCGTTTCGAACTACGAACACGGCTCGTTATCTCAAAAGCCGGTTCGCCCAGATGACGTGCCTCGTGAGTTCGTTGAATCTCAGCGGAAAAGGTCGCTCCTCTCGTTCTGCGCCAAGCCCAAATTTTACGTGCTAATATGCGCGCAGATTACAATCTTCCTCAATATGTCCATATTTATAACCGTGATTACCGACTACAGCGCGGACCGGGGCATAGCGATCTGGGACGCGGTATCTTTAATTTCGTCTTACACTATCGTCGACCTGTTGGCAAGACTCGGCACGGGTTGGGTGACGGACCACGGCTACTGCTCCAGGAACGCATGGATGGCTCTGAACTTCCTGCTCTGGGCGCTCGCCTACCTTCTGATTCCCATCTGGAGCTCGTACATTGGTCAGGTCGTCTTATCCGGATTGGCCGGTTGGAGCAACGGCTGCACGCTGCCCCTCGTTCCAGTGTTGTTCATGGACGTTGCAGACATGGACCAATATAGTGTGAGCGTCGGGATTGGATCCTTTGTTGTAGGTCTGGCTGGACTCACAAGACCCGCCTTCATAGGTAAGCATCGAGAGAAAGTTGCAACGTCGATATACGACGTGGTTGGGTTGGGCGACAAAAACTAATAGTTTAAGCATAAGTACAATACAAAAAGTATAGCCAAGAAACAAAGTATAACTATTGGCACGTACCCTCTTAATATATAGCGCCTTCCAAACGGCATATAAATTTATTTGCTATTGTGCCTCACCTCAGCAATGTCAAAATGCAACATGGCGGCCAGCCCAAAGAAACGGTTTAAGCAACTCAGTAACATCTTAAAGCGATAGCTCTATATGTAAACCTTCCAGCAACCAAATTTCTTGATCGTGTTCGTTTTAATCGCATGACGCCACAGCGTAAAGTGGCAGTCTCAAGCGACATCATGCTGTCACGTGACTTGAGTGTCATGTGACGTCATGCTTCAAGTGGCTTCGCAATTCACAGGACGTCATCGCGTCACGTGACTTCACTGACGTCACAACGTCAGGTGGCGCTGTCACGTGACGTGACTTTACGGATAAGACGAGGCCTTAGGCAGGGGTGCCCGTTATCGCCTTTGCTGTTTATGTTGTATCTGAGAGGATTGGAGGATAGAATAGAAAAGAGTGGGCTTGGATTCGACCTTTCTTACAGTAAGCCAGGCCAAAAAATTCAGCAATCCTTACCGGGATTAATGTATGCGGATGATATCGTACTAATAGCTAACAACAGGACAGAGTTGCAGGAATTAATGAGCATCTGTGGTAGGGAAGGAGAGGAATTAGGTTTAGAATTCAGTAGTGAAAAATCAGCAGTCGTAATTTTTAACGATGATGAAGTTGAGTAGCTGAAGATACAGAATATTACAGTTGAGAGAGCTAGTAAATACAAGTATCTAGGGGTATGGATATGTGATGGTGCAGAATATCTCCGTGAGCATGAAAAGTATATAATAGGTAAGGGCAACAGAAATGCAGCTGTAATGATAAATAGAGCACTTTGGAATTACAACAGGTATGAGGTGGTGAGAGAGATTTGGAAAGGGGGTCACGGTGCCTGGATTGACTTTTGGAAACGCAGTGCTATGCATGAAATCCGAAGTGCATGCGAGACTAGAAATAAAACAGCGCGGAGTGGGTAGACTGGCTTTGGGGGCACATTGCAAAAACGCCAAACCAAGGAGACATGGGATGGGCGTCATTTGATAGCAGGGAAGCGGTGAGCAAGATAGAATCTGAGGATAGGTTGAGGCAAATGGATGGGAGCAATGGGCACGAAAGGTTTTCAGCTATTTATACATGAGGAGTGCAGACACAAAGTAGAGACAGCGCACTAGGAAATTAAGAGGAAAGTTTTTGGGCTATAGTGAAGATACGGAAGAGCAAGTCTCAGTTAAGAAGAAACTTAAGGCCACAGAAAGAGATCGGCGGCTAGAGGGAATGCAGACAAAGACGGCTATGGAAAGCTATAGATTTAACAAAACAGTTATTGCCAAAGAAAGCATTTAAGACAATTCTAGGGAAAGCTCATTGTTGTTTGAGGCGAGGACGGGTGTTCTGCGAACCAGGACATACAGAGTGAAGTACCAAGAAATGGATACAGTGTGCACTGCTTCAGGGGAGGAGGACGAGACGGCTGAGCACCTGGTACTCTACTGTAAAGGGCTTCACCCTATGCCTACCGAAGACAACATAGATTTAATAAAATCATTGGGTTTTAGAGACAGCGAAGGGAGAGTGGATTTCAAGATTGTAGAGATTAGCAAGCAAAGATTAAGTGAATGGTGGCAGAAATCGAGAGAAAACTAGGTATTTTCTTATTAACTGATGGCAAGGGTTTTTTTATAGCCTCACTTTCTTTGCAGTGCGGAGTGAATATAGATTTCACATTTAAATATTCTAAGCTTAAATGGTAAAACAAAATGGCTAGGTGGCGTAAGCTACCGCCCGATCCAAAGGACTCAGCCGGATTCATCCATCCATCCACTTCAAAATATCCCCGCTGAATTTTACGCACATATATCTACGTTAAATTCCGATACAAGGTGCTGCTCGTCCAAAACTCCATCAAGTGCTATCACACCTCCGTTGCATATGAGGGAATGTCTAAGCCAGGAAAATAGTTTTCCTTTGTGTCAAGATCACTGCTTGTCGTTCCGTCGAGGTGACATGAGCTACGCGAAATAAAGCTTAATTACCAAAGTCAAAGGATGGTCAAACTAAGATTTCGAAGCTTCTTGTAGTCGTAAATGCTACAGATATTGAATAACCCTTTTTCGCTCCCACTGGTGGAATAGGCTATAGACGCTTGCAAGCAGCCGCGCTTCGAGAGCTAGTCTGGCCACCGTGGATGGAAAACGCTTTGTTTTGGCGCCAGTCTGGAAACCATGGGTCCGCCTCAGCAATGCTTGACTTTCAGACGATCTGCCCACACCAGCAGGAAGATGGCGGCGCCCAGATGCCTTACTTGCAAACGTCTGTACAAAAGATGCCAGGCGGCCATGGTCACAAGTATACGTCCATGCGCAATTGCCTGATGAACATGCTTGTCATATCTGAAGGCGGGCAGTGCTACTGTAACGCGCTCTCTCGCCAACCAAATGTAGCAATGGCATGGCTAAAGCCATAATATACAAATCATTTTGGATTTGGGTTAATTAACCTTACGTAATCTTGACTCTCTTCCAGGATACTACAGGGACACAATAGGGAACTACGACGGACTCTTCTTCTTGCTGGGAACAGTTACACTTGGAGTGTCTGTGTTGTGGACATGCACCGCCGTCTTGGAACAATGGTCGGCCAGTCGCCGCAACGTTAAGAAGGCTACACAAGCTCTCAAGGTGCCTGAACGTGGTGAACTATGACCTATAGATGCCAATAAAAGAAACCGGTTTGTTGATGCAGCTCTTGAACGTCTCGATAAAAATTGTCAATCAAATCCTGTTCTCTTTTAGTTTCATTTTCAGCTGCAGAAACAAATGCAGTAAGAACAAGCTAACCGCTTAAATACAAAGCACGGCATTGCGAATAACGCAAGAAGTGCGCATACTCAACGTACGCAAGGACCAAGCCCCTAGCTGTTAGTTCAATGCGCACTTACCCCACCGAGTATTCTCCGAGGTCAACGGCTATCGTATTATGGAGTGTTCCAGTAGGTGGCGGCATCGTGATCAATAATAATGAAGTGACTACACCGTGTCATCCGCCCCACCTTCCTTGCGACTGGAGGAGGGTAAATCCACAAGCCACCTTCGCCAATCTCGAGCCTCTAACTGGTCACGTGACCCACCTGGCAAAAGAAGGTCCGCCGCCACGCGGAGCGGAGTCGCGTGGCGCGTCACGGACACTGGTTTAAAGCGGACGGCTCGCACCTTCGGGTTCAGCACGGAGGTAGAAACACAGATAATCCGCTCGTTCGTTCACCGGCGTTATCTCTCACCCAGAAGGAGGGCTTGCGTTTGCACAGTAGCGATGGACTCGGCGAGGAGCTGGCTCGTCGCCGCTTCTTGCTGCTGGATGAGTTCCTTCGGCTTTGTCATGATTCGTTCGTCAGGGATAATCTACGTGAGCATCATCGAGCAATTTCAGGTCACGAGGGAAGAGGCGTCATGGCCCGTCACCCTGCCGACCAACACCTACATGCTTTCAGGTAAGGCTTTCCGGTATAAGCATACTCGGTTGTTCCTGGCATTTGATTGGGGAGTCAGAGGCCGAGGGCGTCAACACACTGCAGCCCCTAGTACGTGGAGCGAAAGCTCGCACTGCAGAAACCAAGGATCGCAGGTTCGATCAATGAGGGACTTAGTTCGTCTGCTTCTTGCAGAAGGGTTGCGACGACGCCAGCACGCCGAGTGCTGATTGGTTTTGGTTGGAAGAATTGTCGGTAGACCTCAAAGCCTCTAGCCTTGAGGTCTACCCGCTATCCTTCCAATCGGAGCCAATCAGAGCCCGGCGTCGTTCTGACGTCACCGCGTTACATCAGAGTTACATTGAAAGCAAAGTATGCTTTTTGAACGGTAGGAACCTTCTTCTACAGAATGCACGAATGATATGATGGCAGCATAAAAGTAATAATGAAAACGATGTTGCTGGTTTTGTTTTTCGCCAGCTCGATTCCCCCATTTGACCGAAGCTTGATTTCCGGTTGCAGCACCGGATCGTTACAGTACTAAACTTCACGAGGTGGAAACGAAGATATCGCCAAAGTTCCTAAGCCTTTTGGAAGGGTGACAGACTGTTGTAAAACAAACAACCAAATGTATCGTCAAATACAATGTAAGTCAATGCTGGCAACTCCCGCTAAGAGTAGGCGAAAAGTGATCTCAGTGCCCCTGGCGAGCTCGGAGTTTCCGCTAGCAGACGAATTCTCCATAACGCATTGGTTTTGCCTATCTCCCTGTAAGGTAACCAATGAAAAAACATTGTCACGGGTATTGGCTACTTTAAATGTTAAAAAATAGGTGCCATACCTCATAAGTGAAGGACATTTTCTTCGCGTGGGAAAGATTTTAAAGCTTTCAAGTTGCAATTTTGGGGCTCTCCTGAAGAAAACACTCTGTCACAACTTACCCAAGTCAGACAAAACACGAATGTACTTTCGCGCTATTTTTTTTTAACGGCAATGTAAAAACAAATCTAGAACATAGCTACGTTTCAACTTTAGTGTTCTTATTAATCATTTCATATTGTTGTTGCAATTCCCATTTCTCATGAATGTTGGCTAATCCCATTAAGATTGTCTGCGAATGAAGAAGCAAACGGCTATTTCCAACAAGGTACGTTATTGCGATGTCAGTATGCTCTAGAAGAAGTCGATTGTGCACATGCAAAATTTGACGCTATTACTGAAATTAATAAAAGCGGAGTTACAGAAAAAGCAGACTTCTCCCTCTTGCAGAATTAAAAAGATAAGAACGTTGTAGCTCAAATAAAGGTGATTTCAGTCACATTAGAGACACTAAATGAGCTGCGCTTAGAGTGTCGGTACTCTGTGCCCCGACATTGTAATGGGCGCCGCCATCTTTGTGTTTGTGCAGAGCAGATGCAACTGCCGATCGTCTTGATTCAAAAGTGCGACTCCCTCAGCATTAGATTCGGTGTTCGGGAGCTAATATAGTATTGCGTTGCTCTGTCGCGAACTGTTTAACCAATTGTGGAGGGCGGAAAAGCGTTTCCTGTGATTTCAGATCAAGCTTCAGATAACTGGCAACCATGATTTTAAGCCACAATATGGGCAAGTGACGTTACTCTGAAGCGTATAGCTCATTTAGTGGCACTAGGTCACGTTATATACGATGCGAACATTCCGGTTGTTAGCGCCGCCACGACTAACGTCTTCTGCCTCTGTTACGATAAAAGCCGGTACTCGTTGGACCGTTTGCAACTCCTTCCATTTTTCAAATTCCATTTGCTTTTTTATATTTGAGGCGACGCTACGCCGACGCGGTCTCTCTTCGTCCTGCTTTTATAGTGTTTTTTTTTTTTTTTTTGCTTTTTTTTTTTTGTTTACCTGACGTTGGAACCATCGCGTATTTTGCTTTGCCTTGTTTGACTAGTTTTTACTCTCTTTTCTTCGCTTTGACGCTTACTACCGCCGGTTCGTCTGCTCGTCTGCTACGCTATGCTCGGACTGAGAGCCGCCTGGGACTTTGCTTGTTTGTTTGTTTGTTTTTCTTTTTTGCTATACTCTCGTTTGCGATAACCTCCTATTTTCGCCTTCGATTGAGTTTCTAATCCTAAACATTCATATATGACTTTTTTATATTTATTAAACATATTAAAAAGTGTTTATTAAACACATTAAAAAGTGTTACCTCGTTATAAATTTCTATTCGGATGTTATTTGTGTACGCGTGTATACCTGCTAAGGGTCATCGTTTGTTTATCGATCGGCCGCATCCCGACATACATCAGCTCATACTTGGAGATGGCAGGCATGCCAGGGGTAGCCTGCCCGTGCAAAAACAAGTTTCTGCGATGTGTTGAAAAATCCTTCTTCGGTTTTCCAAAGACGGAACAAATCTGGGTAACTATAAGTTACTGCAACATTCAAATTAAACTGGAAGAGCTATCGAAGTCTGGCTTCAAAATCGCCACTGACGCCTCAACAGACGGTTATCACAACTCCACGGAGATCGCGGAGAACTTCACGGACGACAGACCAGACGCACAACTGAATACTCAATCCTATGTAGCAGGGTGGGCACTGGGCAGCCAATCAGATCGGTCATCATGCTTGCCAAGTCCAACTGCTGTCAGAAACATGAAACACCTCAAAAGACATTTCGTTGAAGACCGAGAAATATTCGCATGCGAAAATGACACCCCCTTCTGACTTCGCTCGTCACCTAGCCGGTAACATCCGCCGTGCCTTCGGATCAGCGGACTTGAGGCCGCTGATCGACGAAACAAAGGCGCCGTGTGCAAAGCTTGCCAGGACACGTACGTCAACAAAGTACACTTGAATGTATTTTTGAACTGCTTCGTCAAGCGAGCAAACGAGAAACTTGCCAAAGTCACTGAGAAAAGAGATGCGAAAAGCAAAAAATGTCACACACTGCTTGCACGTACCAGATTGCAGCGTGCGTGCGACTCTTATTTTACGGGCAGTTTCAGCTGGACTACGTTATTCCTTTTCCTTTTTTTTTAGTTCCTACCAACGCAGCGAAAGCAAATAAACAAACATGTAACAAGCAGCTGATAAAAAAAGTGAAGCTCTTTTCTTTTTTGTTTAGTTTCGTCGTATTGCTTCTTTTTTGTTTGTTGTGGACTCAACACCGACGGCGGCCACAACCTGCGTAACGATCGTCGTCGTTGAAGGAGTCATTCTGGGTGATTTGTATCTTTCTATCGTCTGCTAACTTCTCTGTTTTATTCGCCGTTGTTCCCGACCGTGCCCCATTTCGTTTTTTTTTTTTTTCGTCTGGGATGGCGATCCCATTTTTCTGCAAAGTACGGACATTGTTTCCATGGTCACTTCTATTGTTACTGATTGTTTTGCTTCTGTGCTGCAGCGGCTGGTGCGCTTGCTCCGGTAATATTAACATGTCGTTTGCGCACGTTTTAATGAACACCTATTCAGGTAAAAAATTGCGACAACTCAGTTTGTAACGGATCAATAGTAACCTCTTACGACATAGTTCGAGTAGCCAAAACGCCTTTTTTCCGCTTCTCAGACGCGCTTCAAACGCGCGTGATTCCCTGAGAGGCGTTTGACACCGCTAAATAAACTGCTCTATCTTTGTTTATGCTTGCGTTGTTATTTGTTTGTCGTTGCAGTTGCGATCAGTGGATTACGCTTTGCAAGCGTGCTCACCGTAAGGAATTGTTTCAGCTGTTGGGGTGACGAAACGGGGCTCGCAAAGCTCGAGGACGTTGCCGAGCCTGTACTTTTCCATTGCGTCGTCTGCTTCCGCTAACTCCGAATCCGCTAGATGCGCCACTGTCATGTTTGCCGTCGCTCCCTTGGGTTTTCGGAGGCGATTACGGTATTAACAAAGCAATATCGCATTTGATATCGTCCAAGGGAAGGTCGTCAAAGTGCGGATAAGGATTTACGTTTCGGACATCGTCCTCGAGTTGACGTTTCAAGAAAACAATGAATGACCTCCATAGTTAGGTAAACACTTTGTAGTGAAGGGCATGTGACTTAAGTCCTTCCATGCCAAGGAGACGGCGATTGTCGTCATGTTATGGATATGCTTGAGAACAATAATATGAATAGAGACACTTCTGAAAGTAAGGATGGCTGGGTTTAAGGGCTGAATTTCGTTTATTTTTGCTGGCGTCATGCTCCAAAGCGCGGAGAATCTGAGACACTGAGTACTTTGCAAAAAATTTGAAGAAAGCTATTTTTATCACATAATTTTGAGATTGCATGCAATCGAGCACTAATATATTCTATCTTACCTTGAAAGGAAAACACCTTACGCCGTCATTTTGGGTCCAGGCAGGCACTCAACACCTAAGCAAATTTTTAAAATTTCTGGATTTTTTATTTTTTTTTTTTTTTTTTGTAGTCAACTTGAAATAAGAATTTGACTAACTCACTTTTTTCACTCACTTTTCTGAACCTAATGCTCGACTAGGTTGCAATATAATTGTAAAACATTATTCGACAACTTTTGAGGAAATTATAAATATGTTAATTTTTTTTTCTTTTTTTTTTTAACGCCATTAGAGGGTAAACAAAAGAAGCATCTGGGCAACGGTGCTCGCATTTTTTGAAATAGCCGAAAGTTCAACCGACCACATCTGTTCAGCAAATCAATAAATTTGAAAAGTACTTTTTGTTATTTTGGAGGCATCGCCTCCAGGCGTGCACCTCGTCGGCAACGCACGCCGTCGTCTGCTGCGGTCAAGTGAAACACTGCACGTGGTACTTAATTTCGTTCATTATATTTATATAGCTAACGCTGAGAATCGTGACATTATGACATGTCTACTTATAGCGACTAGAGCGTGCATATTGTTTTGCTCTAAACAATATGCCCGGGTGCGCTTGCAAGTTGAATAACAAGAACTCGAAATATTGTTTGGGATATTTTTTATCAAAGGCAAAACAAAACATATTTGTAGCTCACCGGCGTTTTCTTTTTTTCTTCGTTTTCCTTCTTATGTACATTAAATATAAAATGCAGTCCAGAAATA